TGTTTTCTTATGCTTAGTGTTAACTTTGGAAGTTCTCATTCATTGTTTTTGATATTTTAAGATAAGAGTTAAATGTAAACATTTCAAGAATTATATCAAGAAATTAAATCAATTTCCCTTTTTACTAAACAAGCTGAACTAAGAATGATCTTAAAAAACATGAATCTGGGCTTCGTTTTTTGACTGCTTGTCTGCTGGAGGACAAACTGTCTGTGTCAGTTTCCTTGTATGTATTCTTACCAGCTAGACTCAGCCACGTAAGAGCATAAGAATTTGTGTGTGTGTGTGTGTGTGTGTGATGATAAGAATTTTAAATGATGGTTTAAAAATACTTTTATCTTCTTATTAGAACTTATATTCTTACCATCCAGACTTGGTCTCATAAGATTATTATAAGGATTTCAAATGAGATATTTGGATTTTTTAATTTTATTTATTTTGGGGGGGGTAATTAGGTAGGTAGGTTTATTTGTTTTAATGGAGATATTGGGGGTTGAACCCAGGACCTCGTGCATGCTACGCAGGCACTCTACCACTAAGCTATACCCACCCCCACTTAAATGAGATACTTGAATAATAGCTATATCTTTTTATTAGAAAGCAACCACTTTCTAATGAAGTTAGTAGATTTTAAAAATTATTGCAATCTCATATATTGCCAATAAGAATGTAAAATGGTATGGCCAACTCTGGAAAATATAGTTTGGTAGCTTTTTACGAAGTTAAACATACACCTGCCATATGACGCAGTAATTGAACTACCAGGTGTTTATTCTAGAGATATGAACACTTAGGTTCATGCAAAAACCTATACGTGATTGTCCCTATCAGGTTTATTTGTAATTGTTTCCAAAAACTGGAAACAGTCCAAAGGTTCAACAGTTAAATGGATAAACTGCTACATCCATAATATGGACAGCTACTAGCAAAAAGAACAAGCTGTTGATACGCCCAACAACTTGGATGGTTCTTAAGGGCTTTGTGCTAAGTGAAAAAAGTCAGTCTCAAAAGGTCGCACACTGTATGATTCTACTTGTAGAACATCCTCCCAATGACAAAATTATAGAGATTGAGATCAGTGGTTGCCAGGGGTTAGGGCTGGCGGGGAAGGTGTGGCATGAAGGGAGACCTTTGTGTTATTGGAACAGCTCTGTATCATAATTGTGGTGATGGTTATACAAATCTATACATGTGATAAAATGTCATAGAAACAATAAACACCCCAGATTCGTGACATAAAAACTGATAAATCCAAATAAGGTCTGTATTTTTAGTTAATAGTGTTGTACCAATGTCAGCTTCCTGGTTTTGATAGTGTACTATGGCTATATAAATTACCATTGGGGGAAGCATACACGGGAACTCTGTGTACAGTTTTTATAACTTCCTGTGAACTGTAAACTATATGATCGCGTACTGAAGCTTACCGTCTTGCAGAGAGACTGGTGGGGAACTTGGCATTGGCTTTGGGGCTTCATGGCTATTGGTTGTGAATGAGGCTCGAACAGCTGACTGGCTCCCATAATACAAGATGAGTGGGCTTCCAGTGAAGCGTGGCAGATGGACCTCGTGTGTTTTTCTTCTTTCTTTGAGAACACATTAAAATGGTGGCAAAGGAACTTAAAAGCTCTGTAAATCCATGGTGTAGAGACCTGAAAAAGGAAATGTCAGTTGACAAAAGGCCTAAAGAAATTTGAGGTGATAGAGAATGGATGGAGGCGTGGTAGCTGCCTTAAGAGAACCAAAAGGACCTGCAGAGAGGAGCACCGGTGAGAGCTGAGCCATTCACCCCAGAGAACCCCACAGTGGGAGGCATAGGCCCCTCAGAAAGCGGGGACAGGGAGACTAGAGTAGGAGTTACACAAGGTGGTTAAATTGCCAGGCTCTCTTTGCTGCCCCAGCCACCACTACCGCAGCTGCTCCCTCTGCCTGGCATTCTGGAGGTTCAGCCTCAGGATGTGTTGAGTCAGAGAAGCTCTCAATTGGAAACACCACCCTGGGGACTGGAATTCAGGAAAACTTAGCACAGTAAATTGGAGTTCCCTATCCCTTTTCAGACCTGGGGAAGCTGACCACCTGGTGATTGCCCCTCCCCTTGCCCAATGATAGGAAACTAGAAGCTTCTGGAAAGACCCATTGGCCCTTGGTTACTGTCATTTGGCCAGTTTCTTTACAGCTGACTTGCTATCCAGTCACTTTGAATGAAACCTACTGGTCAATAACCATCCCATGGGCACACCCAGACACTTCTAGCCAACATTGTAGGGCTTTACTCCTAAATACAAACTGACAATCAAGGATCACTAGACATTTGAGGAAAGCCTCTAGCACAGAAGATAGATAGGTACCAAACAATGAGAAGAAATAACCAGATAATATGGGGAACTGGAAAAAAATACAAAAAAAACCCCAAAACTGGTGTATTCAGATAAAAGATGATCCTACATCCATAAAACAAGAACAGGATGCTTTTAAAAAGAAGTAATTGGGGGGAGGGTATAGCTCAAGTGGTAGAGCACATGCTTAACATGCATGAGGTCCTGGGTTCAATCCCCAGAACCTCCTCTGAAAATAAATAAACCCAAGTACCCCCCCAATAAAAAATAAAAATGAGTAATCAACAAACTTTAAAAAGCCCAAATTTAAAATATGATATCAAAAGTTCTTAAAACATAGTAGAAGTGGAATGTAAAGTTAACAGTATCTATCAGAGACATAGAAAAAAAAAGTGAAAAATTAGAGAAAAAGCATAAGATGATTAGAGAATAAATCCAGGATATATAAAATCTTCCTCAACTCCAGAGAAAGAAGAGGCAAGAATCAAAACAGGAATATTTTTCAGACCTAAAGGACATAGTTTTCTACATGGATAGGGTCTATTGAATGCCCAGTAAAATAAGTGAAAAAGGTACCCAAGCTCAGACAGACCATTGTGTAGTTTCAGAGCACAGGGATAAAGAGAAGTCTTCCAGAAATAAACAACAAATGTCATATACAAAGGAAGATGAAATGACAACCAACTTCTCAATGGCCAAACTGGATATTAAAGACAGTGGAGCAATATCTTTAAAATCCTGAGGGAAAATCACTTTCAGTCTGTAATACTCTGCCCAGCAAAATATCTATCAAATTTCAAGGTAAAGATAATTTCAGACACGTGGGGATTCAGATTTACCTCATGCATCATTTCTTAGTCATTCTTGGAGAATGATCTCCAGGAAATAGGAATGACTGAAGAAAGAGGAAGATGTGGAATCCAGCTAATGAGACTCTAACGCAGGGGACCAGAAAGGGACGTCCAAGGGCAGCAACATGGCAGGATCAGTCAGGCCAGACTGAGCAAGAGGACGGAGAGTCCTTGGAGGAAGTTCTGGGGGAAAATGGAATGGAAGATTAGCTGACAGCTTTGTACATTTGGAAAATACTGATAGGCTTCTGTGCTATTCGATGGAGCACGTGGAGACATTTAAGGCAGATACACGGGAAAAACTAAGGGGGTGGGGGTGGGGCTGGGGAATGAGGCACCTGTCAGTCCCAGGAGAAGCAAAAAGGATGTATCAAGAAAGGAAGCATAATCTTTGGTACATTCCTTGCTTTATAGTGACCAGTATTTACAAAGTCATATTAAACCCTTACTGTTGATTTATCGGGAAACTGTTATTTAATTATATAGGAAAGATTGGGGAAGGGAAAGTGGGGTCATCTACTGTAGCAGAAAGCCAGCAGTTATTGTCCAAAATTGAGAAGTCAGGACTATTAATCAAAACTCTGACAATACATACAAAAGAGCACTTTCAGCCCAACCGTAGTATGGGAGTAAGGCCAGGGATGGGGAAGGGTTGAGGCAGGAGTTCTTTTTCATGATGAGCCTTTATCACTATTTGAGAAAATAACAGTTACTATAGTCTCTCTTTACTAACTCACAATGGAGAAACTTTTTATCCTAAAGAATGTGTGTGTCAAGTATCTGTCCCTTTGAATGTTGTATTTTTTTTATTTATATTGCCTGGTCCTCTGCAGACAAGGTACTCATTTCGGGAGAGGGGGTAATGAGATGTGACTGGTCTATCTGGAATGATTAATACTGTGAAACTTACTGTTTGTAGGTGGAACAAATACATTCAGTCATCGTGTATTCTGAGTAAAGAAGCCAGAGCCCCACAGGAATGATTTCTTGTCTATACTTCAGATTTAGGGTAGCATTTTAAATTTAGACCAATGTTCTAGACAATTGCCTGTCTTATACTTGTCGTAACACTTGTCTCTATGTTTATGACTTTCTAGTGATAGAGAAATGACACTTATAAAACTGAAAACCATGACATCTGCAGAGATAGAGCATCATGAAATCCATGGTGGGAAACCACGCCTTCCCATCCACTGCTGTGTGCACAGGACCTGGTGCACACTCCATGAGGACCTAACGAATGAACTGATTGCTAAGAAAAAAATGCCATGACACCTAGAAAGAAGGCTGCAGACTGGCCTGTGTCCTAGGGTCACCAGCAACACGACCCCCGTTCCCTCCACCGGTAATTAGGCCTATCAGAGACAGAATCTCTTGGAAATTTCTGTTCTGTTGATAGCCGGACATTGCCCGTATAATTAAGTTCTGATCACGCACACTTGCCCCTTAGTGCTAGCGTGACAGCCATTAACCTGCTTAAACCCAAAAGGGAGCATCAGCTCTGGGCCCTCAGCCCCTGCAGGGTATACTTTGTAGAGACAGGATGTCTGCTGCTTGATCCACTTACAGTAAGTTCTAGGCAGCTGCTGGAAAGGCAGGGAATCACCAGGGTCACCTGTGCCTTGGCGATGTGCGCACCCCGTTCCATCGGTCAGGAAATAAATGCTCTTCATTACTTTCAAATCAACATTTGTGGCTTTGTAGACAGACTGGACTGTGTCAGGCACACACAGGGATCCTAGGCTCTGCAGTGACAAAATCTGAAGATTACCTGGTTTCTTGTTTGCTCATTTTATTAATTTGTTTGTTTTTGTGCTTGTCAGAATGTTATGGAACAATTCAATCCCGGGCTACGAAATTTAATCAACTTAGGAAAAAATTACGAAAAAGCTGTTAATGGTAAGTCTCTTCTGTTTTCTAAATTTATAAATATAGAGTGCATTTAAGGCATTCATTAAATATTTTAATTATTTTAATAGCTTGATACTAAATTCTTAAAATATCTTTTGATTGGTAGAAATTGTTTACAGTTTATCTACAGAACTTTGCAGTGTTAGGATATTAGTGTATATGAAATGAGTAAATTGACTAGTAGGCTATCAAAGGACCATCTCTTAAATGTCATATTATGCTTTTTGACACTCCTTAATCTTTTATATCATTGCCATAAATACATTTTCTACTTTTTATACCAGATTCTTTGTAAACTAATAACATATATAAAATGTGTACTTAAAATATTTCTCAGTACCCTGAAGCATAGCAACATTCGCCTTTTTACTTATATAGAAGGGCTTCTTGTCTCTGAGTGTATCACTTTTGATAGAAATATGAGAAATACAAATTTTAGCCTGAATGAAAAAAACACCTCAATTAAAGGTTGAACTTTAATTTCAAAATGAGTGCTTCACTTAAAATGAACTCAAGCATTGGCTTTTGTCTCTTTGTGAACCGGAGTGGTTTGCTGGTTTGGATGGATTGCCCTGGAGGAAGCTGGCATACATCTGCACATGCATTGCCTACTACAAGGTGAATGTCACCAACAAAAACCCGAGGTGCTGACAATCACCAAATTCTAATACGTGGAAACAGTTCTCCCCAGGTAGCAAGTGTCACCCCCAAAATACTCAGATTCTGGCTTCACCATCTACCCTGGCTCACTAAGACCAACAAGTACTACAGGTAGAAAATTAGTCTCCAACCTTTGGAGATTTGAAGAAGGCTTCAGATCAGGCTTGTGTCTTTTTCCCGTCGTTTCTCTCTTTCACTGTACCCCACCTTTGGCTGTTCCCTGTTGATGTTCTGGAAATAAACCTGTGTCCTCACACCCTCAGCATGAGCATGCCCCAGAAGAGGGCATGTGCTGGCTGGACTTGGGACTTGGGGTGACGGGTGCACCGTTGTCACAGTCACTGGAAAAGTAAACTGCGTATTTACTTTCCCCAGGATCTCTGTGCTCCTGGCCAGACATCTGCAGTGTCAGGAAATGCTGTGGGCCCGGGAGGAAAGCCCCCCTCCCTCCGGCAGTGTCAGTGACTTCTGTGGGTGCCCCTCCCTCCTTCAAAGAGCGGGAGCCTTGTTTTGGAAGTCCTGCACAGCTGACTCTCCCCTGATGATTGCTTAGTCACAAGGTCACAAAGTCATCACTTTATATGTCCCTGTGAAGGAAATCACTCTGACCTACAGTGTTTCTTTCTCTTTCTGGCATGAGCTGCCTCTCTGAGGCAGAGTTTTTTTAAATAAGGTGATGCAATGAGCAGCCCACAGCTAAGCCTCCTGCTAGTAAGGCTTCTCCCCAGAGGACCCCGTCACTTTAGACAGCTCCTGGGGACTGTTCTGCACTCCATAAGGTATTTCCAGAATTTCTGCAGGCTGTCTGTTTTTGGCTGAAGCCATTGAGAAGCTTAGATAAAGTCTGTAAAGTCTTTGGTAAGACTCTGTAGTGTAGCTGAAGACACCAGACGTGAGGTCAGCAGTTAGAGTGTAACTCAGGGCAGCAGGTACAGCTGATGAAAAGCATGGGACAAGCAGCGTTGGGGAGGATGGAGCAGGCCCTGTAGGGGCTAACCTGGTTGACAAATGTTAGGTTTTAGAAGGCAGGTGCTGCTTACTAGTGCTTCAGGCAGGAAAGAGGGCATCCAAGCCCAGACCAGGGTGCACCCTGGCATGGGTGAGGAGCTGTGGGGAACAGAAAAATATAAGGTGGAGTAGGGTCAGATCATTAATGCATCTGGATGTTGCTGCGTAACACACTGCCCCAGAGCTTAGTGGCTTAAGACAACAGTAGTTCACTGTTTCCAGCGGAGTTAAAGACAGTGCAGTTGTTCGTATGCCTGGGGCTCGCTCTGCAGCGGCTGTCAGCCCAGGCCAGGGCTGGGCTGGGGCTGAGCTCGCTTCCTCCCTCAGGCAGAGCTGGCCGGCCCAAGAGTTCAAGCCCCTGTGGGAGTCATGCTTGCTGGTACCCCACTGGCCAAAGCAAATCACATGACCAAGTCATCCTCCAGTGTCCTGGAGGACTACACAGGCTGGGAATTCTGTGATTCATTGAATTGTGATTCATTAAAGGCCATGAGTATAAAAATTTACAATGAACTCTGTGCAGTGCGACAGGCTTACCCTATGGGGAGTGGGAGGCCACTGAAGGTGTTTGAGCAGAGTTCAAAACCTAGTGAAATCATATTGTAAGGAAAAATTTTCAGATAAAAGTATTTAGATTGATGAAGTAGCTGGTCAAACACTAAAATAGGACAAATAGGTGTCATTCCTTAAAACAACAGGGGTAGAAAATCTCTAATGTATTTACAAAGAGGAGTAAAATTACGAAAATAATAGTTTAGTTTTTTTTCTGGATAAGTTATGTAATTTTTAAGTTAATGTAACTTTATCGTAAGCTGAATATTTTACTAGACTGAGATGGTTAAATAGTTTTAAACAAAGTCAAAAGTTAATGAAAAAATTTCAGTTTAACGTGAATGCAAACCAAAAATTTTAAGTGTTGTGTAATCCTGTTTTACCGTTCTCCTACTAATTTGCTTTTCAGCTTATCAGTACCTTGCAGTTTTAAATCTTCCTACTAAAATATTACGTATATTAACTTGACAGTTTACTGGCTACAAACCTTGTTTTTAGGTGGAGTCATCTCTTTCTCAATGCTAGCTGAGACCAAAGAGTCAAAAAGCCCAATGATTTAGAATCAAGGAAGTGAAGTACCTTAGCCAGAGTTGCGTGCACTGCCTCTGATTCACCGTTGACCTTGGGCATGTCCCAGAATATCTCCTTTCTGATCCCCTTCATGAAACAGGGGAATAACATCACCTACCTATATCTTAATTTAGTTGGATAGATTAATTAACTTAAGTAATGATTTGGAAAGTCTCCATGAATGGTACTTGTTATTGCTCTTTTTTATAATTATGCTTTGCGGTTATCCTCAGTCTTCATGAAATAACAGTACAGTAGAGCACTACATTTCCTAAATTTTATAATTTTTTAACTCTACAAGACATGTAAAAATAGATTAATTTCCCATATTATATATATAAATTTTATATATATATATATAATTTTTAACTCTACAAGACATGTAAAAATAGATTAATTTGCCATGAAAATACTAATTTTTATGGCCTGCAGTATCTTCAACTAGACTTATGCATTAATTCATTCTGGGCCCTCCTCTCCCACCTTTTTTTAAACTTGAAATACCTTTTAAAATCCATCTTTTTAAAAAAAAATCCATTATAAATGGGGGCAAAGCAGCTGGTGTGGCCTCAGGTTTTCTTCTCCGTGAAAGGAAAGGAATCTGAGATTCCTTAGGGCTTTTTATCTCCAAAATCCTGTGGTCTCCAAAGCTACCAAAGAAACTGATGTCTGTGTACGAAGCCAGCCTTTGAATGAGATAAAGTAATTTTCTCCAAAGCGACACCAAATAGACTGGGGATTATTGAAAAGCTTGCTTGTGTCCACCTTCAGTCTCCTCAAACTTCACTAGTTGTAAAGAGAGAGAAGGAATCGGTATTAGCAGCTTCTGCTCGTTTGTCCAATACTCACCCTAGTAGGTCATTTTATAGATTAAAAGCCTTGTTTCAGAAAGGATAACTAACTTGCCCAAGAAGGTCATGTTGTTGGAAGTATCAGTAGAGTTCAGTCCTAGGTTTGTCTTGCTCCTGACTCCCCCCCCCAAAAAAAAGAAAAGAAAAAGGAAAGAAAAAAGATAAATTAAAAGCAGATTTCTATGCCTTATCATGTAGTTTTCAGAATCAGTTTGAAAGGAGAAATGTGATTTTTAAGATAATTAGAATCCAGCTTGTACAGCAATAGAAATCTTCTTATCTCTCCCAAAAAGGAGGAGAAAGAAAAGCAGAACATTCAGTTATTTTCCAGGTAATTCCATTGTGTTTTGAGATGGTAATGTATTTCAGATTTCATAGATTTTTCTCCTGGCAACAAATATGTTGCTCGTGTCTCAGAATATCTTAGAAAGAGTAAAATTACCATTGAAGGCCCAGGTTCCTAGGCCACCACACACACACCCCTCTGTGAACGTCGCAGACCTTTATTACTGTAGAATATTCGGCTTGGAAAAGATTTTTCGCTGGAGTGCTTGTGTTCCAGCCCTAATCCCACGTCGGGAACACATCCACCCTGGAACTGGCATCAGGAGTGGGCTGGGCTTTCCCCGGACTTGCAGCCTCTGCTCCGCAGGTTCCCCAGGGCTGGTCTGAGGCGAGGATCCCATGGGGGCCTCCAGGGGCTGGGGGTGGCTCCAGAAGAGCAGTGGAGGGACCCGCCTCTGGCACAGCTACCGAGCCCCAGCCCTGCCGTCTGAGAGCCACACTGGCCTCAGCCGGAGGGACCAAGGGACGTTTGGGAGAAGAGCTCTGTGTCCCTTCCTCCTTTCCTTGTCTAAGTAATGATTTTGTGTGTCACCTTCCCCGTCTAGCTATGATCCTGGCGGGGAAAGCCTACTACGACGGAGTGGCCAAGATCGGTGAGATTGCCGCTGGGTCCCCCGTGTCGACCGAGCTGGGTGAGCTGACCATCCTTTATACGTAAACCTAACTTGAACCTTGGTTCTGGGGCCTTCATCCTGTGAGCGCTGCTGAGAACACATGAAGTGGGCCAAATCCAGAATAGAAAAAAGAGCGCTAGTTCCGCACCCCAGTGCGTTTGCTTCGGGGACGGCTGGCTCCTCTGCGGTCTGTCGAAAGTGGGGACTTGGGGCAGGCCGCGGCCGGGGCTAGGAGCTGGGCTTCTGCCCCTGAGGTCGGGCCCTCACTCCCTCTGATCTGTGACGCGTGAAGCCCAGGGAGCTGAGACCCACGTTTTTAACCGAAGAAGATGTGCCCGGGCCTCCTGACTCTGGCAGGAGTGTTTCCTGTGACTCGCTGAGCAGAGTAGGAGTCAGGCTCCTTTACGTTCTCTCTTGGCTGTCGCTGCTTCCCCAGTTGCTCTCCGTTGTGATTTTTCCGGTTTTGCTGGTATGAATTGATCTCTTGTGCACTCACGGAGGGCGAGGGCGGCCACACCCTCTGCAGCCCGAGGTTTCTATTTACAGAGCCAGTCACTGCGCCTTCTCCAGAGCAGGGGAAGCGGGCTTTTTCTTAAATAGCCCCCACATAACTATCATTTTAAAAACGTGTTGAATGTGTGTTTTTATTTCACACTTCATAATATTTGTCATAATTTGAAAGGTTTAGAAAACCAGACGAAAAGGTGGGTCCAATGTGTGTGTTTAAAGAAAAGTGTCCATCTCCAGTTAAAAAGTGGAAAGAGACGCAGAGGAGGGGCACAGGAGCATAAGTTTAAAGTTCACACAGCTCACACCATTTCTGTATGACGTGTCCTGAGGGCTTTCAAAATTGCTTGGAAAACCCTTTAACTGACCCATAAAAGCCAAAGAACAAATTCAAGGTGTGATGACAGCTCTGGGGTTGGGGGCTGGGCTCCTGGGCGTTCAGGGGGTCAGGGTGCTCATTACCATTCTCTGACAACTATTGTCCTTGAAAAGTCCATGTAGAATCTTGAAACCTGTAGACAAAACCTCAGCCTAAAGTGAGCGGGATGATGAATAAGTCAGCACGGCTATGTTTAATACAATCAGGTCCATGTAGAGAATTTTCAAAACCCTCACTTGTGTTCTGTTGGCACCATAACTTCTGCTCATTCTGGCAAGATCTGAACCACAGTAACTCTGTCCCAAGTAGGATCCATTTAATAAAATACACACTGTGTCATGTAGACAGAAGCAGATAGTAAAATTTAGGACATTTGAGAGATGATTGAGATGATTATAGGGTTCCAAAAATAGGATTAAATTAAAAAGAAACATCCTATTTGAGTCAGGCATTGGGGGAAAAAAAATGAATGACCTTTACATTAAAACATATGGTGCTTTGACTCACTGTCATTCAGTTTGCCTTTTTAATGTTTTATGGTTCTTGCCACTGTTTAAATAAGACTTCTGTTCCACACCTTACTGTGAGTTCATAATGTTGAATCAACTATTTCCACAGCAACCATATTGTTATAAACACGGGCTTAAAACTTCAGTTTCAATAAGGAAAATATGTTGCAATGGTGAAGTTTCTTTCATGTGCCTGTATTTCGTTCAGAGGGAATGGAAATCACTTGCTGTATTTTATTTTTGTTCCAAGTTGTCCTTTTGCTTATATCCCCTCTGTCACAGAGTTAATTTTCTACTCACTGCCCTTCCGTGATGAAGTGCTGTCTTAGTTGGAGTTGCTTCTGTAGGCCTAACATTTACTTCTTTTGATTTGCTTAGTTTTTTATTTTATTGTTAAAGTTTAGACTCAAATACCACCCTGTATCTGTTTAAATTCCTGTATAGGAGAGCATTGGGCAGTTCATAAAAAAAGAGAAAGACCTAAGGTAGATTATATTTTTCTCATTTTTCAAGAAGGTCTTATTGTCTGGTTACTGACTTTTTGGTATTGGTATTCATAATTTTATTATGAAACTTGTGTTATAAAATCCTATCTCTTAAAACTGAAGGGGTGTGACAAATATGAAGATAATGAATCGTTTCAAAATTTGCATTCATTAAGAGTATTATCTCTGGGAGAAAATGTTTGCAAATGATATGATCGACAAGAAACTAATTTCCAAACTATGCAAACAGCTCATACAGATTAATATCAAACAAACAACCTAGTCAAAAAATGGGCAGAAAATCTAAATAGATATTTCTCCAAAGAAGACATCCAGCTGGCCAACAGGCATGTGAAAAGATGCTCAGTATTGTTAGTTGTTAGAGAAATGCAAATCAGAACTACAGTGAGGTATCGCTTTACACCAGTCAGAATGGCCATCATTAAAAAAACTACAAATGATAAATGCTAGAGAGGGTGTGAAGAAAAAGGAACCCTCCTACACTGTTGGTCGAATATGAATTGGTATGGCCATTATGGAGGGCAGTTTGGAGGTTCCTTTAAAAACTAAAAATAGGGGGAGGGTATAGTTCAAGTGCTTACGTGCTTAGCATGCACGAGGTCCTGGGTTCAATCCCCAGTACCTCCTCTAAAAAATAAAGAAACCTAATTACTTCCTCCCCACCGAAAAAAAAGAATGGCTTAAAAAAAAAAAACCTAAAAATAGACTTGCCATCTGATCCAACAATCCCACTCCTGGACATATATGCAGAGGAAATTATAATTCAAAAAGACAACGTTCATGGCAGCACTATTTACAATAGCCAAGACATGGAAACAACCTAAATGTCCATTGATGGAGAGATGGATAAAGATGTGGTGTGTACGTGTACACACACACACACACACACACACACACACACACAATGGAATACTACTCAGCCATAAAAAAGAATGAAATAATGCCATTTGCAGCATCATGGATGGATCTAGAGATTATCATATTAAGTGACGTAAGTCAGAGAAAGACAAATATTATGTCACTTATATGTGAAATCTTAAAAAGACACAAATTTTATTTACAAACCAAAAATAGACTCATGGACATAGAAGACAAACTATGGTTACCAAAGGCGAAAGAGCAGGGGAGGGATAAATTAGGAGTTTAGGATTCATATATACACATTACTGTATATAAAATAGATAAACACAAGGACCTACTGTATGTCACAGGGAACTGTATTCAATTTCTTGTGGTAATATATAATGGAAAAGAATCTGGAAATATATATATGTGTGTATGTATATATATAACTGGATCACATTGCTGTACATCTGAAACTAACATTATGAATCGACTATGCTTCAATAAAAAACAAAATTTAAAAAACAAAACAAAAAAGAGTATTATCTCTGAAAGACCTATGTTTCCCACCCAAAAAAATAATCCTGTAGTTTAAAAAATTTTACTTAAAAAATTTTGCTCTGGACGGAAAAGAAAGGAATGTGAAAGAATTCTTGCTGTTTCTAAAGCTTTGATTATAAAAGTAGTTTTCATTTTAATGTTGAATTAAATATTTTTTAATGTTGCTATAGGGCACGTAACCTTTTTCATTTCGTACATATTTTTACATGAAATTTCTGTTACATTTATTCTGATACTTTTGTGCTTTGGGAGGTGAGTGAAGAAGATACCCTCTGGGTAAAATATTTACTTAATTCATAGAAATTTGTAGTGAGGATTCAACTTGGAAAACTTGGCCAAGTACATTATGAATGTTAATCAGAGTGTCAAAGCTAAGCATTTCAGTCTCTTCTCACTTTAGCTGGGGGGAGTGGGGTGGCTAAAGCTGGAGGAGAAAGTTGAATAGCCTGTTACTCTTTGTCTTTTGGATCTGCCTCTTGGTAAGACAGCACTACAGGAGTACCATTTTCTGATTTCTAGCTTTGTGTTTTCATTTTGGTATTCCTTTTTCGACGTCAGCTCACCCTGTGCCGTGTGAACCAATTAAGATGCTTTTGCCCCAGAGTAACAAAATACTCAACTAATAGTGGTTTAAGCATTAAAGATGTTTATGATCCCACATGCAAAGTAGCAGGTTTTTGGTTGGTTAATCATTACTAAGGGGTCTGGTTCCTTCTCTTTTCCTTCTCATCCTCAAGCCTAGCTCCTCACGGCACCAAGACGGCTGCCGTTGCCAGTGTCAGGCGGTACATCCTCTCTCCTCCCATTCTGTCTAAAAGCAGGAAGATGTGCCCTTTACAGAGGAGGAGACCTTTTCCCAGGAGTCCCAGCACACATCCTCTTGTGCCCCCTGGCCTGATTTGGATCACACGCCCTGACCCAGCGGTGGGAGAGTTTTCCTTGAGATGGTTAGCCAAGGAATACTTTGAAGGGGAGAGGGTATGGCTGATAGGAGGGCACCCAGTGATGCCACCAGTCAGGCAGCTCTGGTTCAAAGGTCTTGTTTCGGTGACAGAAAGAACTTACACAAATATCCTTGTGTTAGCTGTGCCTTGGGCACTTGCGTTTTGCTCATGTCTCTGATTAGGGTTTTTCTCCCCCATGGGTTGTGTGGTTTTACTGCTGTGTGTTTACATCGTGATTGTTGTGACTGTTGTTTCTCCAGAAGACCACACCCGTCCTTCCCAGTCTATTCCCATCTGGGAAGTGGGACTCTCAGCACAGAGGGCGAATTAGGGATTTGGGGTAGTTTTTGGTTTTCTGCCTTTTTGTTTTTCTTTTCAAGCCTTTGGGTACCTTATAGTCATGAACTCTGGCTGCATTTTTCCCTGCCTCTGCTTCTCCTTTCTTTCCTCCTCTCATCGTCCTCTCTGCTGACGGGCCGCGGTCTCACAGCCTTGTCCATCATCGCTATATTTCTTTTCAGTCTTTTCTTCGTGGGAGCATGTGCCGAACAGCCAACTTGAGCGCTAGCTCTCGGCCGAGCACAGGACCCAGCGCCCGTTGGGGCCCTGAGTTCAGCACCCCGCGTAGCTCCCTCACCAGTCCTGCAGAGCTGGGCGCAGCTGCTCTCACTGTCTCCATTCTCCTGGTAGGACCCAGAGGTGAGCTGTGTGCCAGGATCACACAGGTGGCAGGTGGTCCGACTTGAGAATCTGAGCTCCTCGCCTCTGT